TTTTCTAATACAGTGATTCATTAAGCAGCATTGATGATCATCTGTGAGAGGAGAGAAGAGAAGTACCTGCAGGCTGTAGCACTGCTTCCTGCAGATATGTGACCTTAAAACAACACAAATGTCTTCGTGGTTCCTAACACTCGTAGATTTTTTAATCTCTGAGTTGTTCCTTAGTCTACTGACTTGATATAACTATTCATGGCCTAAATCAGGAGAATATCTTATGCAAATTTCAAAGACATATAGCACTAAATTATTTACATCTTGCCAACTTCCTATTGGTGGTAACAAAATATGCAAAAATATAGAAAATCCATCTTCTAATTACTGAAAATATGATGAAATTAAATTTGGACTTTTCTGCTGGCTATTGTTCCCTGTCTGAAATGGGACTCTCCAGGAGGAGGAGGGATCCATCCCTACTATGCTATATTTCTAATAAAAATGAGCACCAGAACAGAACTACATCTATAGCATAATTAAAATTCATCACCTACACATATTCAGAATGGAATGGTAGAAGAAAAGCTAATATCAAACTACTGAATTAACAGTATAACCAGACAGATACTAGAGAGAAACAGTCTTTATTCATGAGACTGAATTAGTCTCAAGCTCCAGAAGGAATAGGTATCTACACTCCATTGTATGATCTTTTAAGATTATAACCATATGTTTCCTTTTAATGAGCATGCTACAAAAAATACTAAGATCTACTAGTCAATATCACTATAATCAATGTCAATGTAAAACACAAAATTACAGAACTCTTAAAAAAAAGTCCTGAAACGGATATTCACCAGCATATATTATTTACATGAGTGAGACGTGTTTTAAATAAAGGGTTCTAAAAAAGGGTGGAACACATAATAACAAGATAATAGAAAATGAATACTTCTATATCAGTACAAAATGGCATCAGTATACTTATTATTAAAAAATGTTACATTTTATAGTTTTCCAAGTCTACTTGAACTCTACAGTGCAAACAAACAACTAACAATTAATTTGCTTCTTCATGCTATAACTGTTGCTATGAGAAAGCACATCTTTGGTCTCAAGCATTCAGAAAATTAATCAAACCCTTGTATTCCTGACAGAACTAATGGTATTAACCTCTTGGGCATACAAAAATGAATTGAAGGAGTAATTATAAAAAAATGGTCTTATTATAAAGTACATTTAATATAAAAGGAAAAAATACTTCCACAATTACCATTCAAAAGAAAATCTGGCAAGCACTATACATTCAGCTAACATCCACAGTCACAAAAACTAAATTATCAAGGCTCATCCTAAAAATTACATATCAGGATATTCAAATCACTTAATTTTGATGGACTGAAAATATCACCATCCATTTACAATATTCCAGGAAGCTGGAAAACTGTAGTAGTAAATGTATCAACATTTTGCTCTCAACCTCATATTCCACAGATTACAGAGACATTAACACAATGTATTCACTACAAATAACCTTGTCAAGAGAGACAGTGTTACATAATTACCAATATGAACTATGTTGAGATAAGGATATAAAATGCATTGTGAAAAAGCTACCACATAAGGCAATACTCACCACTAAGTCAGTGAAACATTTTCTGAAAAGTATAGCAGACACATTGTCATCAGGAGCATACTTATTTTAGCAAACAAATTCACCTTTTCTGCTTGAAACTACGAATCAGAGCTAAGATCACAAGGGTCTTTCACATCTGCACTGGTCACCATACTCTTGCCTAGTTTGCTGTTTTTATCTAATTGAGTCTGTATTTTTCCACTGCATTCTGCAATTTTGTGACAGAGCCTTAAAATCACCTTGTAGTAGTAACTGTGCAATTTACAAGGAGCCATCTCCTAATATGGAATACTGAAAATTAACATTCACAGAAGCAGAGTTACTGATTATGTATGCAAAAACACACCTTAATCTTAATCTTGGAATCTGGTGAATGATGTTCTATTACCAAGGCTATTAATGAGAACAGTAAATAGCACTACTGCTGCAACATTACAGTTCAAGTTTACAATCTCCATGCCAATGCTCTGTACATGCCAGCATAATATAAGGAAAGCAGCAATTGCCTATTGTGTTCCTTCCTTCATGAAATACCTGTAAATGATCACAAAAAGACAGAGATAACATCAGTCTCAGTTTTTATTCACAACTCTGCTTCAAAACACTTGATTGCTGATTAGAGCTGAACATTGAAGAGGTTCCTATATCAAGTCTTCAAGTAAAATGGACAGTATTCATATTGATAAAATCAATCTGTGGTCAGTTTTCCAAATGTTCCTGGAAGGAACAGGTAATATATAAATATCTGAAATTCACTCTAATTGGTATCACTAATCTATCAAACTGGCTCAGATTCTGTTCATACAATGTCTTTGTATGTTGGGGGAGGGGTAGGATGAATAGGTGGGGGTTGAAGCTCTTTGTGTGTGTGAGTGTGTGTGCAAATGTGAGTGTGAGTGTGAGTATGAGTATGAGTGTGTG